TTCCCAACAATATCAGGCCCCTTCCAAGTATGCCATGTGGGAGGGACATAGAGCCCTGCCCGTCCTGTTGCTGGGGTCAGGGTGGGGGGGTGGGAATAGCATGGCCTTCCTCCCTCCGCCAAGTGCTTCCCACCCCCCAACCCAATATGTACATTGACTCATAAGCTGAGTGTAAAGCCCTTCCTGTGAGGTGGGGAAGGTGCAGCACCCCAGGAGTGTCTATGGGGGGCCAGGGAGAAGTCCACAGCTGACCAGGAGGGCAGAGGCCGGGGAGGGGCCAGGGATGGAAATAAAGTCTCCAGCAAAGCTGCTCACACACCTGCCTGGGCAGAAGGCGTCAGAGTCATGTGGGGAGCTGGGTCCCAATTTCCTGGGGCTAGATCGGTCTGTCTTCACTCCTCTGCATGGTACTGATGAGCTAAGGGTTCAGAAACCACCAGTCTGAGTCTCAGGTTTCAGCCTTTGCTCTTCAGATGACTAGCCAGATCCCCATTTCCCCTCCTCAACGATGGAATCTCCGTGAGAGGTGGATGGAGGGCTCCCCCTCCCAAACGCAGGATGAGTGAGTTGGTTTGTTCAGAGCATCAGGCCATACCAGACAGAAAGGCAGAAGGACATAGTGTATAACAGGGATGCGGCCCTGGGGGCGCCGGCTGTCCAAGAAAGAGTCATAGACTCGCAAACCTGAGCCCTTACGTGCAGACAGGTGCACAGGGCCCCACTGGGAGTCTTCTCTGAGCCAGCTCTGAGTCTGAGCAAGCAAAGCCATCCCTGTCCATCACCAGACACCAAGAGCCCAGGGTGCCACCCTAGTGATCAAGGGCCTCCTACATGCCAGGCACCAGGGACCCCGAGAACAAGAAATCTGCCCCTATGTTTCACAGAGTGCAGAGTCTCAGGAAGGAAGGAATGCTGCAGATGTGCCGAGAGCCAGAGCAGGCCATGACCTGGGGTGGCTGTGTGGCTGGGATGGCACAGTTATTTGGGGGGAGTCAGGGGACAGAGAAGTCTTCACAGAGTTGGGATCACTGGGTCTGGGGCTTCAGGGGAAGGATTTTCCCAAATGGAGATGTCAGACATCCTATGCTGTGAGCAGAGCAGGAGCACAGGAGTGATGGGAATGTACCTGTTGTGACAGAGCTGGAAGGCTGGCCAGAGTAGCCTGACCGGGTGCTGCGGGGGTGGGATGGGGGCCTGCAGGCTCTGCCCGAGTGCTCCAGCACATCCGAGGCCAGGGGCTGGGACCAGCATCCAGGGATAATCACCAGATTCATCAAAGCCCAGGGAAATTGGAGCCTTGCAGTTATTAAGAAGTCCTTCCTTCCATCTTTCCCTGCTCTCCTCTGTTTGCAAATTTTCTATGTTGCTAAACCCCCTCCACCCTGTTTCATCTCAGTGATTAACTTAATATCAAATCCTAGAATTCTGTCTTCTTCCATTTCTCCTGATGTTTTGAGAGTCCAGCTGGGCTTACAATTCATTCCAGTGGGATCATCCGAGTTGCTGTTTGTTTTTTCTTTCTAACATTTTTTTGTGAGTCTTGGATGAGGTTGGGGCCTCAGGCTCCTGGTTTGACCCTTGCTTTATTCGAAGCTGATGCTTGGGGTGGTCGTATGTGGTTTCCCAAACTCTGCCAGCCTGGGTTGCTTGCCTCATGCGTGGAAACCTGGCTGGATACAGACCCGACAGGTCCACCCAACTTCTAGGGGTGCCCTGACACCCATGCTCCAGCCCTCACCAAGACCCCGCTGTGATGTCTGCCCACTCGCGGGCAGTCTCCTCATTCGCCCACAAGTGCCCCACAGCAGCTGTATGAACGTGGAGGTGCCACCAGCACTTGCACGTGCATGACACCCCGAAACTGGAAGGAAGCCAAAGTGTCCGTCTTTGGATGGGTGGGTCCATAAACCAAGTGTGGTATATCCATACAGAGAAATACTATGCAGCCATTACAGAGGAAGGACATTCAGATACACGCTACATGGATGGACTGTGAGGACATTGTACTAAGTGAAATAAGCCAGACACAAAAGGGTGAGTGATCTATGGTTCCACTTACAGGAGGAACCTAGGACTGGGGAATTCCTAGGGACTGAGAGTAGAACAGGGGTTCCTGGGGGCTGGGAGGAGGGTGGGGATGGGGAGTTATTGCTTCAAGGGGACGGTGTTTGGGATGATGAAGAAGTTTTGGAGGTAGGTGGTGGTGGTGATTGCACAACATTGGGGATGTACGTAATGCTACAGAATTGTGCACTTAAAAATGGTTAATTTTATGTTATATATATATTTTACCACCAATTTTTAAAGAGTTAGCATGTCCACAGGGTGCAGGGATGGACATGGGAGCCCAGACTCAGCGACTTGCCCCCTTCCTCAAATCCCCCACCACCAGAGGGACAGTCAGTCCCTGCACCGTGCGGCGTGGTGGGGAAGCTGCCTTCGGGAGCCTCAGCACCCTCACCTGGAAGAGGGCAGATGTCTGGCTCTCGGCAATCCCCAGTGACTAAATGCTCAGTCTGTGCCGGTAGGCGAGGCAATGCGTGTGTATTGAAGATGCTTACGTTGTATATCCTGTATACACATATCTTGGCACGGAGGTACCACAGCGAATGCAATAGACAAAAGCTCTGTCCTTGGGGCCGGTACAGGAAGCAGACATCAACCAAAATAAGAATAAGATCTGTGGTCAGACAGGCAGGGGATGGGGTTTGGGAAGATGTGGTTTTCAAGCAGGTGGTTGGGGACAGCAGATAAGTGTTAGAAAGGTACTGAGAGACCCAGCTTTTTATCACCAGGGATTATCTCAGGACCATGCCCATTCCATCCACACAGCCGCTCACTGTGCCAGGGCGTCCTTCGTTGGTGGGGAGGGATGCCTGCCTGGGTGCCTGGGTGGGGGGGTGGGGGTGCTCAGAGACGAATGAGACACAGCCCGTGTTTCGGGTAAACGAGCAAGGGGAGAAACCATGTCACCTCTAAAACTATCTTGGAGAGGTCCAAAGGGTCTCTTGTACCAGCCACATAAAATGAGTGATGATTGTGTTTAATAAACATATGAGGAAGATATTAGTCTCTAAAAGTTATGAACATGTAAAAGCACGTGAGCAAATCCTTCTTGTCCAGATTCCCCAGGATTTGCCCCAAAGAAGCGTACCTCTGTCACCGTGAAGAAAGTGTGACCGTGGGACCTGGGCCTTCCTTGCTCTGTTGCGGTCCAGTTTGGGACCCTATATCTTTTTTTCTTCAATTGGCTTGTCAGACAGTGCCTCCATCTTAAGTATACAATTCAATCATTCTTTAGTAAATTTACACAGTTGTATAACTCTAACAATCCAATTTTAGAATATTTCCATCCCCCAAAACAATTTCATCATTCCCATTTATAATCGCCCGCTGTTCTTACGCCCAGACCCAGGCTGATCTGCTTTTGTGTCTGCAGATTTGCCCATTCTGCATATTTCATGTGAATGGAATCATTCTATATTATGCAGTCTTTCGTGACAGGCTTCTAACACTTAGCACGTTTGTGAGGGTCACCCACATCGTAGCAAGTGTCGGTTATGGCTGAGTCATATTCCATCGTACATATCCATTCACCACATTCTGTTTATCCACTCACCAGTTGGTGGACACTTGGGTTTCCAGCTCGGGGCTTTTACGGTTAACACTGCTGTGAACGTGTGCACACAAGTCTTGGTGTGAATGGATGTTTTCATTCTTCCCGTGTGGAGACCTGGGGGTGGAGTTGCTGTGTAGGGCAGCCAAGTTTAGCTCTGGGAGGAACTGCCCTACTTTTCCAGAATGGCTGCAGTATTTCCTATCCCCAGCGGCCGTGTCTGAGGGCTCCCATTTCTCCACAGCCTCACCAACACTTGTTACCATCTTGGATGTCCTAGGCGGTGTTCCTTTATCCATTTAAGTGATGCTGGAGCCTGGTGGGGATCAGAGAAGGGCAGCAAAGAATTAAAGATGTGGACGCTAGAGCTCCAGAGAACAGATTGTAGCAAGAGCAGAAACGAGAGACCAGAATTCCCTCCTGGGGAGATTTCCCCGGGCGTCTCTCAGAAGACCCATTCCAGGGAGTAGGTTACAGTGCACACATGGGAAGCTGGGCGAGGAGCCCTGGGCAAGCCCTGCTGGGCCTTCCTGGGCCGTGTTGGTGGGCACAGAGGGAACGGGCATTGCCTCCTTTGGACGGTTTAGTCCTGCCTCTCGGGCTGAGGGCAGCGCCTGGTCCTCAGCAGAGCCACCCGGGCACATGGGGGCAACCATCCACCAGCCCCACCACCCACCATTGTTCCCCCACCTCGCCCAACCCCAGGGAGACAGGCTGGAAACCAGCCCTTCCTCCAGAGAACACTGGGGGTGAGCAGACACCCCCCCCCATCCCGCCCAGTCCCCAGCCCCCGTCCCCCATCCCCCAGCAGCAGCCACATTCCTTGCCGAGACCTTGAGACCCCAAGGGGCCCCCATAGGCGTCTGGAGCCCCATTTCCTGGTCCTCTGTGCTCAGTCATCTATTTTTCCAAATCCCAGTCCCGGCTTGTTTACTTCTCTGGTCCTTTAAATAGCCACACTTTTGAGAGCGCGTGCGAGCCTTGAATGTCATTCGGGGCCAGACTGCACCGAGCCTCGGGCCTCATCATCGTGTTATTCTTCGTGCTGCTTCCGCTCTGCTCGGCACACTCTGTTCTTGGGAGCCGAGCCAGCCCAGGGCCAGTCTTTCCCACTGGAAATGCCACGAGTCCTGGGGGCTGGGTTGAGGAGCCACCCGGCAGCACTGTGGCCCAGGTCTGCGCTCTGGAGGCCAGCTCGTGCCACAGCCTCTGGGGCCAGGTGACAATGGGGCTGGACATCAATGGCACTGAACCCCCTCCCCTGGGCTGGCTGTGCTCCAGGGGGGCCGCGGGGTGTCTGCTCTGAATCCAGTCAGGACAGTTGCGTGCTATTACTGGTGTCACTGGCTGGGGTGATACAGGCTTGGGGGTGGGGGGGGTGTCCCTAGAGCATGTCCAGCCAATGAGGCAGGCTGGCCAGGCAGACACGTGTTACTCAGTGTTTCCAAATGAGCCTACAGGAAACCAGCCACTTAAGAAGGAAGCTTGGCTTTTCTGGGCTTTAGAGAAAACTGACTCGTTGGAGTTCCCGTAACCGATAGGCTGCTGGTGGGGGACGGGGCTGTATTTTCCAAATACACACAAAAAAGGAGAATCCAGGGGCGAACGGAAACTTTGACCTTGGCGAGCCAGGCTGCAGGGGTGGGGCTTCCCGAGAAGCGTGGTCAAAAGGCAGTAGAGGCCGGGAGCTTGTCACTCTCCTGTCCATCTGCGCGCCTGTCCACACACGCTCCTATCTAGCCACATTGGCCTCTCAGAAGAGCAGGGCCAAGGATGCGAGAGACGCCGTTTGCCCCCGCCGCCATGCAGTGCCTCCTACGGTACTTCCATCCCAGCCGGGCGGGCCGGAGCCGGCTGGCCTTGGCCGAAAAACACTTGTGTGCTCGGGGTACCGCCCTGTGGACCCACATCCGAAACCTCGTGTGCAAGGGCAAGGTGGGCAGACGGGTATGCCACGGTTTCCCGGGTGGGCCACGTTGGGGCAGGGTCCCCTGGATGTGCTGCTTCATCGCTCTGCTTATCGGCTGCATCGAGAGAGGGGGGCCCAGTGATTACCATTCCTGGGAGGGAAAGTGAAGGGGGTCTCCTGCTGAAGCTGCTTCTGTGTCTCCCTTTAAAGAAAACTCCCAGTGGCAAGGAAGCTCTCCCTTTCCTTAGGAGCAGGAGGAACGGTGTCTGTCCCCTTCCTTCCTAGACAGCCAGGACACAGGAGTTGGGGATGATAGGCTGGCAGTGCACCCCCCCTTACCTCTTCCCACCACAGCTGGTCTGGTTGAGAGTGTGGGGCCCCGGCATCATCCCGCTCCTGCCACCCCTGGAAGAGGCTGTTCCCCTAGCTGGATGCCTGGGACTCGCTCTCGCAGGGAAGCACCAGTTGGGAGGTTTCCTTTTCTGAGTGGTTTGTGACTGCCTGGTCCCTGCTCACAGGCCCTGCCCCTCAGGGTGGGGTCCCTGTGGCCCAGGAGTCTGGCCCCTAAGAACCTCCTGGGACAGATGAGGAATGAGAACCTGGGACCGTACAGCCTCAGGAGGGAGATGCTCTGCCACCCTTTGTTTTTCTGTGTTGTTCTGTCTGTACATTTCAAATCTTTGGGGATGTTAGGAGGCCCTTGAAGGGGAAGTGATGTCCCCCCTGCTCCCCCCCCGTCCCCACCAGGAGTGCCTCTGCTGAGCCTCCATGCCAAGCAGTGTAGGGAGAGAGGCTCAGGTTGCACACACCTGAAGGGTAGCGGCCGCTGGACCTTCTTTCCTCTCCTGCACAAGGCCCACGTGGCTCTCAGCTCTTGGGTCTCTTGCAGTGAATAGCCATGGGACACCTGTCCTGAGCACCCCTCTACACCTGGAGCTGTGCTCAGTACCATTGTGTGTGTGTGTGTGTGTGTGTGCATGCGCACGCACATGCACAAGTTTGTGTGTGCAGAAATTGAGAGGCGCAGACCCCCCTCAAGTGGTTTGTCTAGTCGCAGACATGAACCATCGCGCTAAGCAAGTGATGAAATCTGCAAGGCCCTGCATGAGGAGCACCAGGTTATATGGTGTCAGACGGTGGTTCCCTAACCTGGCTTTATATGAGAATCCCGTGGGGAGGTTTCTAGTTAGGTGAATCCAAGATTCCCCCCCCCGCCCCCCGAGCTGCTGGTGCAACTCTGGGGTAGAACCCTGGGAGCTGTTTTTAAACAAGATCTTCCCAGGTGCTCATTTGTCCAGCCCGACCACTGGTGTGGAATGTGTGCTCCCCAAAACAGAGGGAGATGGAGCCCTCATAGATGGGGGCCCTTGGCCTGACCACGAAGGTCTGAGGACTGTTAAGCAGCATGGTCCCGCGGGCCAGCGCTCAGACAGTGCTCAGTGGGGTGAAAGCCAGAGGGGCTGCAGAGGGCCCTCCAGCCCCCGTCACTCGCTGTGTGATTTGGAGCTGGGCTCTGGGTCCTTCTGGGCCTGACTCTGAAACATAGGACTGGCCTGGACTGGAGACCCCTCCTGCATGGGCTCCTACAGCTAAACCACGTAGCACGCTCAGGGGGAAAACTGTCCCAAACTCTTCATTGGCACGCCCTCTGAAAGTTGCTGCTGAAGTTGGGTTTCCCAAAATATGTAAGCCGACTGCTCAGCCTCCCTGCGCTGCACATAGTGCCTGAGATGGTTGGTGAGGGGGAGCAAGATGGCCACCAGCATGGACTTGAAGTCCCAGCGGGAAGGGACAGAGGGAGGAACGGGGCCCCGAGCCATGAGCCTGGGACCCGTGAAGCACAGATCTGGGAGTAGGAGGGCTCTCAGTTCCAGGGGTTTTCTAGCAAGTTCTCTTTCGGGACCCTTCTTGGCCTCTAGATAAAAGTGCCGGCAGAGGTCCAGCTCTAATTCTGACTTAGGTGTGGAGAAGTCACAGGGTTGGGCTGCTGCCTGGCAGGGTCTCTGTGCAGACCCCAGGCACCTGCTGATCATAACTGCTTGCTTTCAGCTGGACCCCCAGGCCCTGCAGGACAGAGACTGGCAGCGGACCGTGATCACCATGAATGGGGTATGTTGGTGCCTACTTTTCCCACAAGATTAGGGTGGCCCCAATTCCTTCCAAAGCAATCAGAAGGAGGCTAAGCCTGAGCCAGTGTCTGAGGTGGGGTGTGGCTGAAGGAGGGAGAAGCGCTGCAAAGCCAGGTCACTGCGGGCAGGAAAGAATCCCATTTGGTGGCTGGAGTGCAGTCCCCGGCCAGGCGCTGAGCATCCCTCCTTGAACAAGACAGGCAGGACCTTGACCCTGGTGTCTGCCTGTAGAAACGGAGACCCTGATTCGTTTTCAGGGTCCCAGAAGGATTTAGACCTTTAAAAAAGAAACAAACAACCAAAACTATTACCAAAAAAGGTCTGGGCATAGGTGACAAAATGTTAACATTTGATAGATAATCCATGGCTTTTTGTTATGTTATTTTCTGTACTTTTCCTCTTGTTAACTATTAAGAAAGAGAAGCAGTGGGGATTAGGGTTGGGGGCAGTGTCCTGCAAGAGCTAATCTTTAAATCACACTGACCGTTCCTGGTTCTTGCTGAGTTGGGCCAGGGACCTGCTCTGCACTGGGGTCTTAACCCAGTTGCTCAGGGAGGGGAGTGATTTGCCAAGCCCCCCGGGCCTCTGGGAACTCGGACTATGAGTCCCAGAAGGGTGAGAGGGCCGTGCCCCTGCCTCCCCCTGCAGATTGAAGTGAAACTCTCAGTCAAGTTCACCAGCAGGGAGTTCAGCTTGAAGAGAATGCCTTCCCGAAAACAGACGGGTGTCTTTGGAGTCAAGATTGCCGTGGTCACCAAGTGAGTGAACTCATGCGTCTCTCATCTCCGGGCACAGTGGGCACCCCCTCTCCCCCAGGTGTTTCTGAAGGAAAGAACAGGTGAGGGTCTCCCCTCTCTGTGCATGGTCCTCTGAGCACGAGGCCCCCTCCGAGGCCCCCCACCCAGGCCCCTGGAGCGCTCTGTGTGCTTGGCTGCCTCCCGTGTTTACTGCAAAACTTGCCGCCGTCAGCTTAGGAATGTCCTTGCCCCCTTCCTGTGCGGGCGGGCTGGCGGGCTGGCTCCCACACGATTGGAACTGCGGAAGGTCAGGGTTTTCTTCCCTCACTCAGAATCTGTCCCGATTGGGGTTCCTGTGGAATGATGCCACCCCAGCCCCTTGGTCAGGTCAGTTGCCAGGAGAAGTCTGTATGTTGGTTTGAGAGCAGTTCGCAGGAATGGCGCAGGCCGCTTCCTTCCAGAATCCATTTACTTCCAACATTTCGAATCTGGCTGGGCCCCTGACCTCACTGGTTGTCCAGGCAAGGGCCCACATCAGATGTTCCCCAGACACCTAATTGTGTCCAAACACCACGCTCTGCCCCCAGCTGCACCCCAGCTGTGCCCACAGCTCCCTGGATGGGTCTGGGCCCGAGCAGAGAGGACTGTGTCAGCGGTTATCCCACATAAGTGTTGCTGATGGGGGTGACTTGGGAGAACGCTTTGCTGGGCTCCTGAATCCAGTTGCTCAACTAGGCTAGAGCAAACCCTCCAAACAGCATGTCTCCTGTTTTTGAAGTATTCCTACCCCAGGGTCCTGTGTGGAGGTACTGGAATTATTCATTGTTAAGACAGCGAAAAGTGTTAAGTTATTTATGTATGTATGTATGTATTTGACAGAGACACAGTGAGAGAGGGAACACAAGCAGGGGGAGCGGGAGAGGGAGAAGCAGGCTTCCCGCCGAGCAGGGAGCCTAATGTGGGGCTCGATCCCAAGACCCTGGGATCATGACCTGAGCCGAAGGCAGATGCTTAACGACTGAGCCACCCACACGCCCCAAATAAAATCTTTAAAAAGGAAGAAAAGGGCCCTAATAAGATGTAAGCAGTGGTAATCGTGAGCTCTCACGGCAGAGGAAAAGGGTGCGGACGGGTCCACGGGAGCCCGACCCCTGGGGCCTTCATCACCCCCACCTCCGGGTGTCCGGATGTGCGGACAGGTGGTGGGTCCAGCCCCACTGCGGCCTGAGCCAGGGCTGCCGGGCACTGAAGACACTGCCCCTCCCCTGCAGGAGGGAGAGATCCAAGGTGCCCTACATCGTGCGCCAGTGTGTGGAGGAGATCGAGCGCCGGGGCATGGAGGAAGTGGGCATCTACCGCGTGTCTGGAGTGGCCACAGACATCCAGGCGTTGAAGGCGGCCTTTGACGTCAGTGAGTGTCGGCCCGGGCAGCGCGGGCTGGGGGCGTGGGCGTGGTGACCGTGTGCCTCCCACGGCTCGTGCTGGCTATATTAGGCTCCGTACCTTTCCTTCACTTGTTTTATTTTTTAAATGAAAAGAAGAGGGAGCGGTGGGACGTGCTGGCTACATTAGGCTCCGTACCTT